AAAATAGAACTACCCTACAACCTGGCAACTGCACTACTGGGTATTCATCCAAGGGATACAGATATGCTGTTTTGAAGGGGCACATGCATCCCAATGTTTATAGCAGTACTACTAACAATAGCCAAAGTATGGAAAGAGCCCAAACATCCATCGATGGATGAATGGATAAAGAAGATGTGATATGTATGTATGTATGTATGTACACACACACACACACACACACACACACACACACACTGGAGTATTACTCAGCTATCAAAAAGACTGAAATCTTACCATTTGCAACTATGTAGATGGAACTAGAGGGTATTAGGCTAAGTGAAATTAGTCAGAGAAAGACAAATATCATATGACTTCACTCATATGAGGACTTTAAGACACACAACAGATGAACATAAGAGAAGGGAAACAAAATTAATATAAAATAGCCTCGATCCTAGTTTTCATTTTGTTGTTTTGTGTGGTTTATTTTCAACTAATAAGGCAATTTCTTTCAAGTTTAGTGATCTACTCAGATTTTCTCAGCATCCTTTTTGTGTCGATTTTCAATTTATTTTTTAGTTTTTTGGCTTCAAGCTTTCATTTCATTCTCTTAGGATTTTTAAAACGAGTTTATCTGAAGTTCTGCCTCACTTTCATTACCAATAATTTCTTTTTTGCCTTTTTCTACTTTTCTTTTTTCTTGATCGAACTTACCAGAGATTAACATATTAATTTTTCCAAAGCAGCAGCTTTGGGTTGTGTTGATTCTATGATTTCTATTTCATTACTTTCTCTTGACTAAAATCTTTTATTCTCATCTTGTTTTACTTTTCACTCTCTGAGTAAAGCACACTAAATTGTTCCACTAAAAATGTATATCTGAAATTCTCCTTGTAATACTATCTTTTTCCTTTAATTATTTTAAACTAATGTCAGGTGCACACAGGTTTCACAACTTATCATCCTGGTGAATTGGTCCTTCTATCTTTATAATGGCCTTCTCTGTCTCTACTTCAGTTTTTTTGGTCTTAAGTCCTATTTTGTGTGACATTAAATACAGCTTCTCTAGCTTTAACTAGTTTCCTAGGGCATTATTTTCTATATGCCTTTAAACTTTCCTCTGTCCTTAAAATGTGTGTCTTCTAGAAATAGTACAGAGCTATATAATATGAGAGCCTCTATTAATAGTTTGATTTACTTTTTCTTGCTAGGATGTCCAATATTTAGAAGTATTTCCCTTAATTTGTACATCTTATATACCATAGGGTATGTTTCCATAATCCATCTGGCTCAACTACTCTTGCATTGGTCAAGTTGTTTGTATCTCCTCTCTGCTCTTCCTCCTTGGCACTGGTTTGGAAGTTATGCTATCTACTCCTATTCTTTGAAGCTGCGAATCTTTCCCCAACATTTTATTATGAAAAATCTCCAACACAGAAAATGTTGAAAGAATTATACAGTGAACACTCTATACCCATCACCTGGAACTGCCCTCAGTTTTATCACACACACTTGATTCAAGGTCTAAAGTTTATCAGTGCATCTTACCTTCTTTGGTAACAGTAAGATCCATAGAAGGCTTTGACTCTGATCACTTTTTTGAGTTTTCCACCATGTTTTTAAGGGGCCTGCAGTTCGTCATTATTACACTGGTTTTGGTGTTACTGCTGTTTTGAGCTAATTGTTCTTTACATTTGCCTTCTATTCTGCTAAATTCTTTCATCAACATTGCTTCTGGCACCATACCTTTGCCACCTTTCTTGAAATAATTCACAGCAGTCTCTATAGCCTGCACTGCAACTTTTGAAATCCTAAATAGACCACACTGCGTTCAAAACGTAGTTAAAATCAGAGCCAAGTTTCACCTCTCCATAGTAACAATTTCATGTTGATTTGCCAAGGAGACTATAGCCTCAAAAACAGCAAGGAATTAGCATATATTTTCCTATCTGCCCTATACCCAGCACAATAGAACATACATCCTAAGTCCTCCTATACCTGGCACAATAGAACACACATATGAAGTCCTCATGGAGTGAAAGAATACCAGATGGCATGCTCTCTGCAAGCATTTTCTTACCACAGAAGAGCATCAAGTATGCATATGATTATTGGATTGTGCTGGGTCTATTTCACGCTCTGATAAAATATCCCTTTCTGGGGCTCTTTGCAGAGGACCTGAAGCAAAGGGTCATGGAGATAAAGCACATCAGACTCGATCTGGGACAACTGGCTGTTTTCTGGATTCTAGCTCTCCATGGCTCTGTGTCTTATTTCTGTCTCTGTCTCTCTTGCATCTATTTCCCCCATACGCAGAGCAGACAGGAGCCATTTAATAATCCTTAAATCTCTGAAAACTGAAAATCTTCCAGAGTCTCCGATTTCCGTTGTTCTAAATAAATACCTTCACCAAGCTGGTACTGAGTCCAGAAGCCATTAAAGGATCTGAAGAAAGGTGTGGCAGACCTTACAGAAAGGTCCAGAGTAGGCAGACTTTGAGCAAAAGTGCTGTACAAATTTTTTAAACAGTGAAAGAAATATACTCACTAATGTACCTTATTGAGAAGCTATGTGGCTGATATTTTGGCCTGGCTGGATCTTTAACCTGGCTCTGTGACATGTCTAACCTCTTCACCTTTTTTTTTTAAACTCTGAATTCGTTCAAGCGCACAGTACATAGGAGAGCCAGGTAGGAAAAAACAAAGGCTGGCAAAAATGGCCCAGCCAGTCACCAGGGACAGCTCAGACTTATTATCCCTGAAAACATTCTGAATTTCCAACACACAGTCAGGGAAATGTGACCCCATTGTTTTGTTTTAATTAAAAGGAGACGAATATCCTCAGGAAGCTTTACCTGAACAGTATATGCAATAATGTATACAATTAAACATCTACATAAAATGAAAATGCCTCACTACCTAGACTAGATTTGGTCTAATTAAAAAGTAAATCAAATTCATAAGGAAAAATAATTGCCACTAGGCATAATAAGCTTGTTTTAATTTGGAATCTGAGTAAGGATACACATACCACTACAGGCATGAGCTTCTTACTATAATCTCAGAAAAACGAAACAGACGAATACGATTGCTTAACCTTCGTTACCACAGAGTAAGACAAGGGGCATCTTTTACTGGAGTGTAAGTATGAGGTTTTCCAGAGGCCTCCAAACTGCAGGAGACACTGTAAGAGCAATACCAATGCTCTGATACCATTTGGAATCCCAACACAAGTAAGGCATCTGGGGTGTCACAGAACAGAGAAAGGCAAAACTTCCCATGGTTCCTGCAGGAAGGAAGCCAGACCGACTGGGTAGTAACGGGCCCTTGGGAACACTCGACTATAGGACTTGTTTGGAAAATACAGAACAAAGTCAGTGACACGACATGTGTAGGGCCATTCTCAGACTCAAGGTCACTCAAGGCCTATATTGTAGGCCAAAGAAGCACATTGGATAGGTTCCTTGGGATTCATGAACATAAGGGGAGAGGGTGTTTTCTTTTGTTTTGTTTTGGATAACAACTCAGTTTAGCACAAACACTATGTTGTCCAAGCACCTCTGTCACCTCTGTCAAAGAAGTCAGGTTTTCTTCTTACTCTAGGACATATGCTGGTCCCAGCTACTTCCCACCAAAGTTAAAGTGGGATCAAGGGCCAAGTTGGCATTTATGTTATCCTTTCTCCTCAATGTACTTGAACACAATGCAGTTGATGCCCTACTCAACACATCTCATTTTGGCATACCCTACAGATAAGTGACGTCTGCCCCCAGCTGACATTCAGCTCAGGTCCCGCTACCAAAGCCTCTACAAGCTGCATTCTAGATGACAGCAGGATATTGATGTCAAGACACTCTGGATATTGGGGAAGGGGTTGCTCAACCAAATGTTTCAACTGTGCTAAGAGGAAACAGAAGAGGTGGGGGGGGAGGGGAGATAGGTAAAGAAATATTACCAGAGGAAGAAATACACAAAACCCTTGGAGAAGCTGATCAAAACACAGGGCAAGATCACTTCGAACTAAAGCAGCCTAAGTATGGCTGGGTCTGTCCTGTTGGACATTTCTAGGAAATTCAACCCTAAGGCCCATGTTCTGTGGGGCCATAATGTATCTGTAAAGGTGCTTTCTCTTAAATCTCCAAGTACTGAGCCCTCCCCCCAAACACCCCATCATTTTATACAAGACAAAGACCAGATGTGTGGAAGAGTGAAGTATTTAAATTTTTTTAAATGCTTGTTTATATTTTTTTGAGAGAGAGAGAGAGAGAAAGAGAAGGAAGGAAGGAAGGAAGGAAGGAAGGAAGGAAGGAAGGAAGGAAGGAAGGAAGGAGGGAGTAAGCAGGGGAGGGTCAGACAGAGAGGGAGATACAGAATCTGAAGCAGGCTCCAGGCTCTGAGCTGTCAGTACAGGGCCAGACGGGGTTCGAACCCAGGAACCATGAGATCACGACCTGAGCCAAAGTCGGACGCTCAACCTACTGAGCCACCCAGGCGCCCTGAAGAGTGAAGTATTTAATGTGTATCCTACACTTTCAGAGCAACGGAGATTTCCTCATACTGTAATAAAGAATGTGAAGCTCTTTTATGCTCTGTTGTTCTAATATAGGAGAGTCTTGCAAAGAAATTCAAGAGGACAAAATCTGGCCCAGTGTGAAAAAGGGATGTTCTGATGGGAGAGGTTTCAGAAGATGGAGGGCCTGAGCTCGCTGGGGAACTCCCGAGATATCCTAGGACAGACTAGACAATATCTAAGCAGAGCACTACAGATTCTATGGTCTCCATAGAAGCTCCATGCTCCAACTTGGAGCAGTAGCCTCCATAGTCATCCCAGCACTGAATTTCCAGGCCTCCTGCTTTTCCCAAAGACCACAGATTTGATCCTATACACAACTGAGGAAAAGCTAACAACCTCACAATTGACTGAAACTAGGGTATGTATTTTATGTATATGGCTCAAAAACACTGAAAAGAAGAGCAGACAACAAGAAAAACAAAAGAAAAAAACAAAAGGTTATTTACTCTAAGAATCCGGGCTTGTGTTTATGTTCCACATGAGGTCCAAATTGTATCTGGGCTTGAAATCCTCCAAACTCACAAGCTTTCTCGAAGGAGACAGGGTGGGAGCCATTCAGGATATCATCCCGAGCCTGAAACACAAGAGGAAGCGAAAAGCATCAGGAGCTTGGGGGAACAAGGCAAACTCTCCAGGGACACAATTCTTCATCTGAGCACACCCTCCCTGTGGAGCAAGGGGAAAGTGCCAGCCAAATGGGACGCATCAGGACTGTGCAGGTGACTAGCACAACAGGATTAAAACAAAAGGAAAACAAGTCCTTACCCCAAATTGCCTATAGATAGACTGCATCAGCAGTACGCGGTATACTAAAACTAAAGCTTCAGAAGTGAGTATGAAAAATAAAGAGGCAAGAGAAAAATTAACTAGAGGCAAAATCAACCCAATTCCCATCCCCAGAAAAAGGCCAATGTAATACACGTTGTTGGCAGGGGGAGAGAGAACTCCAATGACAGTAACTCAATACTACAGACATTTAAGGGAAATAAGCAAATTGCACAGTCCCAGAATCAGGAACTTACTATATCTGAAGTCTTTCTCCCGGTTCCTGACCCATCACTGCTATTTATTCTTCTGTCTTTTCTTTCTCTAGTTAGGTGATCCCCAGACCACTCTCCAACAGCTGCTCTAAGCTATGGCTCTGAGCCTTTAACCAACAAGCATTTTCTTACTGCCTTGCCATCTTTCTTTCTAGCCTCCCAGCCCTCCTCCCTCCATGCCATTCCTGCACCCACCAACTCAAGGGTCAGCAAACTTTTCCCGTCAAAAGGCCAGACAGTAAACATATTAGACCTTGCAGGTCATGTGGTCTCTGTAACAACTATTGAATTCTGCCACTGAAACATGAGAATAGCTGCAGAAAATATATAAAAGTGACGAGATACTAAAGGGGTTCACCAGTGTGTAACACAAACAAATGAGCTGTATTCCAATAAAACTTTATTTACAAACATAGCCAATGCTATGGCGGCATTTTGCTGATCCCTGCATTATTTCTAAGGGCAGATAAGTAGATAAATGGAAGGAGAGGAAAGGAAAGGAGGGAAGGAAAGAATCTAAGAAGAAAGAGGGAGGTTTTCCTTGAGCCAAAGAAAGACTGGAGACCATCTGGTATGAAGCCAACGTCTTCCATGTTAGCAAAGTGCGAGCTCTGAAAAGTTCAATGACTTGTCTGAGTTTCGACAATAGGTTAACGGTAAAGACATAAAAGGTTATGAAGAGAGTATCTTTCAATAATGAGAAATATGGATTTTTTTGGCCAACATTCACATGTATTTCAAGACACCAGCAAAGAAAGCTCTAGTTCAACAGTGAGAGAGTTAAGTGTCTCAAAGTCAGGAAAAGAGACAGAGAGATAGTACCAGCCACCAGGTCCCAATCTGAGATGCCAAAGAAAGGCACCACAACCAAACATGTGAGGAATCCCTCAACCGTGCCCAATGGAAACCACGTGCCACAAACACCATGGAGGCCACAGCTGAGTGTCTCTTCACCACAAGCCAGTAGCTTCTTGAAGTCTCCCCACCTTCAGTGAGTATTAAATGCTGTACCTGAACATAAAGCAAGTTCAGCTGCACAGGGTCTCTCGAGTCCACATTCTGATCGGAGTAGAAGAACTTCCTTCTAAGCAGCAACGTTTCATGTTCATCTACCCCTTGTTCTCTGAATGTTCGGCTGTGATCCAGCCAATTTACTGCAACACAACAAGACAGATCTAAGAATTGGGTTTATTCTTCCTCTTAGTTTGAAGGGATTTATCAAAAGAGAAGCGGATTTCTGGAACACCGATATTCAGTTATAAGTACTTATATTAGAACTGTGCTTTTTAACTTTGCAAAATAATTTCACATACGCCATCATGTACCATGTGACGCACCAAACACCAAAGGAGAGCCAATTCCCAGCCATTCCTCAAGTTCGTTAAAGCCCCACAGTCATAAGAAAATCAATGCTTTATGCCAAGACAGCCAAGTTAGCATTTTCCTTTAAGTCAATACTGGATACTTCAGTCTCATTATGTGAAATAATTTATAAACTGAGTATCAGGAGTTACCTCCACCCTCAGGCAGAAAAGAGGAGGAAAATAAAAGTCATGGGGAGGGAAGGGGGAGGGAAGGGCAGGACACTGAGGGATCAGGGATGGTGGAACCCTGCCTGTGGCCCAGTTTGAATCTCATCCCAGAAAATGCTCACCTGTTATCTGGGTGCACAGGAATGGATCACCCCTCTATATTTTCTACAGCTCTCACTCCCAAAAGCCTCCCTGGGCTTAGCACACAACTTGTGAATAAGAAAGCATTACAAGCCTCACTGGGTTACAACCAACTTCAGCACAGGGAATGTGCGGGAGTGATCTCATCTCCTGCAGAACCTGAGAGAGTATCATGCACATTATAAAAATCCTCAGGATTTGTCTACCATCATCTCACTTGGAAAGAAATATGCAACTGGAAATCAAATGAGGTGAAAAAAAAAAAAAAGAATGGAGAAAGGGTCAGAGGAAATGAAAGCCCCACTGAAGATCAATAAACGTAATGACAACGATGTCATCTTCCCAATGCAGCAGCAAGGACAATGAAAGAAGGAGCCTGGAAAGGTCTACATGAACTGTGCATGATCCTCGGTGGGGTGGGGAATGTCCTGCAACCAGGTGCACGTAGCATAGGCTTTGGGGACGCATGGGGTGTACATATTGGCTTTTCCAAATATTAACTGTGTGTCCACAGAGGACAACTTTCCTATAATATAATTACCATTTTGTAACCTCTAAGAAATAATGGATGTCAACAATGGTCACCGATGGCTATTAACATCACAAAAAAGGACAAAAACCAGATACAACCCTCTGCTGGACGTACACTACACCACAGAAGGAATCTTTACTTTAAATGTATACACACATACACACATACACACACATGCACGCACACACACACACACACACACACACACACACACACACACACGAATCTGATCAAGTCTCCAGATCCCAGGGGTTACAAGAGACAGAAGTACATGTTAGCTGATACCACAACCAATAAAATCCAGATTGTAGAAAACTCTATACAAATAACTATCTGGTTTTTTTCTTTCCAGAAACTGCAAGGAAAAAAAAAAAGAAAGAGAGAGAGAGAGAGGTGGAGGCAAAGTTGGAGACTAAAAGAGGTGTCACATCATCCAACCTTGTTTGGACCCCAGTTCAAACAAATAGGAAGCTTTTTTAGAAAACAGTGTGAACATAATTTGTTTATGAGATACCTTTTTTAGATGTGAAATGGCACCAGAGTCATTTTTTCCCCCTTTTTAAGGTCTTTTAGTGCCACAGACCAAGATATTTATAGAGGGAATGAATCAACAGAAAACTCCTGCCCTGGGTCCCACAGGTGAAGGGAGGTAGGTGAGGCCCCTCGTGCGCCCGGCCCACATTTCCTTCTCAGACACTCACGGTCATCATCCGTGTGGAGTTTTGCCTTCAGCTTCTCCATCTTCCTCTCGTCTCGCAACAGTGTCCTGTCTTTTTTTAGCGTACCCGTCCCTTCCTCTTTCTTTTCCTCAATCGTTTCTTGGATTAAAGAATATTCTTCATAGTTCGTTATTCCTAAAAATAGAAACGAGGTTACAATTACCAGGGATTATGAACCTGTCACTCCTTCCAGCCGGGCACCCTGTGGTACTCAGAGCCGCCCCCTGCAGCAAAGGATCAGGGAGCCACCCATGGAGCACACATCGAGAAACTGGCCGAAAGGGGGGCTTTTCAGCTAATGAAGCCATGTTTAAAAGGTCACATTCGATTCTCCTAGTTTTCGACAAACAAGTATGGAGTAGAGATCATGCAGAATAAGGCAAGGCAATGTCAACCAAGCAGTGGCTGAAAGAGCACGTCTTCCTTTGCACGGAGAGAAGACTAAGACAGGCCAGCCTACTTTCTCCAAACATCTGAAGGGCTTCATGCAAAAAGCAGACACACTTGTTCTCTGAGGGCATTAAGAGAAGCTACAAGAAGAAAAGTTGTGTAGCAATCAATTGTATGGGCTGTCCCTATCAGTCTTCAAGGAAATACTGGATGTCAGTAATGCTTATACAGAAGCTCAGCCATGGGCAGGAAACTAAATTATAGGATTTAAAACATACTATCTTCAATTAAAAGGTTCCTTTTGAATAGTTACAGAGAGGGAGGGAGGCAAACCTTGAGAGACTCTTAAATACAGAGAACAAACTGAGGGTTGATGGGAGGGGGATGGGGGAGGGGAAAATGGGTGACGGGCACCGAGGGGGCACTTGTTGGGATGAGCACTGGGTGTTGTATGTAAGCGATGAATCACAGGAATCTACTCCCAAAACCCAAGAGCACACGGTGTGCACTATATGTTAGCCAACTTGACAGTAAATTTTATCTTAAAAAAAGATACTGAGAGATAATAAAGGGATATATTTATGCTCGAAAAAAAAAAGTTCCTTTTGTTTTTGAAAGGGAAATAAAATCTCTCAGTTTTGACTCAGTGAGACGTTCATGTGTTTACAATAACAGTTAGTGGCTTTACATATTTAGAGAGCAGTGTCTCAGGAATGGGAGGAAATCAGTGGGTAAGACACCAAATGGGGATGAAAAAGGAACAGGCATGTAATTAATGGCCAAACAAAAACTGGAACCCAGGCATGCCAATACTCACCGATCCTGCTGCAAATGGTAACCAGGAGCTCCCCAACAGTCTTAGAGTCATCCACCATCACCGTTTTCACGGATCCATCCAGCATCCGGATTTTCTGAGGTCTCTGTTTCTTTTTATATTCCAAAATATCCTAGGGCAGAACCACACCAGCTTTTCACACTACATGGGAAATTAGGTCATCAACTTGGACCCTCTTCTGTAAAAAAATTTAATTTTTCCTAGCACTCTGATTTCCTCCTGCTAAGTTTTCATGAGATTTTTGCCACTAATACAGAAACTCCCATGCTAACAATTAACTGCTTCCATAAAGGTTTCTTAAAAATCTGATAGTGAAACTGTGCCCGGAGAAGTACTTTTTCTAGCTTACGGTTCTTGAAAACTAACCTCTGTTAATTTAAAGTAGCTGATGTCTCCCTGAAAGACTGTGGATGATCTGCTTTGAAGAGAATTAGCAGAGGCAAATTCCTACTTGTCATTGAAAAAGACAGTGGTGTGCTTCTCCAATTATCTTACAGTTACAGGCAGTTTCTAATACATATGTCACGAAGGAATAAATAATGGCCCCATGTTTCTTTACAGTGGTGGCATCAGACCCCAGAGAAGTGATTTGCACCATAATGCCAAGATCAAACAGGGGTAGTGGGCCTGGAAGTCACTTTTAAATGAGAGACCTTTTTTTAACTTTCTTTTTTTTTTTTTTTTTAATTTTTTTTAACGTTTATTTATTTTTGAGACAGAGAGAGACACAGCATGAACGGGGGAGGGGCAGAGAGAGAGGGAGACACAGAATCGGAAGCAAGCTCCAGGCTCTGAGCCATCAGCCCAGAGCCCGACGCAGGGCTTGAACTCGCGGACCGCGAGATCGTGACCTGAGCTGAAGTCGGACGCTTAACCGACTGAGCCACCCAGGCGCCCCTTAACTTATTTCTTAACGATAGAATTATGCAACGGAAAATTACTTGGTACTTTATGGAATACTCAACAGTCTGATATCTGCATTCCATACGCTAAAACCCATTCTCTCAGACGTTAAACTGAGCAGACTATACAACACTTTTTACTCATTACCTCTCTGTACTTCCCAACAAAATCATGTTTTGTTACTGTTACTGATTGTTATTAAGCTTACCTCTAATATGAATTTTCTTAAAAAAAACAGAATTCTGATTAATATTCAATATCTGACTACCTTTAGGATTTTTTTTTTTTTCACCACTAATTTACCCTTACCTTTTATCATCAGTCACTGGGATACTTCCTATACAGAAAGATGCTGTGTCTTATTTCGTAACTACCAAGTCCAACCATGGCATGTACCAACAGCTGTAAGCACTAACCCCAAGCTGCTTTAATTACTCTGTGGAGTTTCAAGAATCTGGACTGCTGATATTTTCTATCACTACCTGTACAACCCTTACAGAGTACGTTACATCAAAACAATGAATAAGTTGCCGTTGAAGCAAAACAGATTGCTGGGTCTCCCTTTTGCTTTGAGGCATACTAATATATTGGCTTCTATGGAAAGCCGAGACAAAGTGACCAAAAACACACACAAAAAAACATGACATCTCCAGCATACCCCATTTCGCAACATGTAGTAATCCAGTGTTCTGCCTGCTTCCAGCCAAATTCCTTTCCTGGGGTCTTCATCTGAGAGAAACAGCCCATAATCAGAAGCTGGAAGATAAGGAGAAGAGAGAAAAATAAAAGACAGAATGACAACGTAACCATCATGGACTTCCAAGCCCGGAGTCTGCTGATTTGGCAGGATGTGGGTACCCTCCTTTTACCAGACAGGTTTCGTTTTGACAATGCGAGCAAGCCAATGGGCTAAAGCAGATGAGGAAGAATGAGACGTGAGCTGTAAAATCAACACCCACAGAGAAGGTTCATGTTTTTTAAAAAGAGTGGGCAGCAGCAATGTCTACAGTTTAAGCAAACATCAAGAACAGAGCAGTCCAAATTTCTATTTTATGCACTGGGCTTTGTTCCCTATCACTTGCTATATGAAAACCAGGCAGAGAACCAATGAAGAATGACAAGATAGCCATGGAGAAACTAAGGAAGTGACCACTTAAGCCCAAGGCCACTGAGGCAGAGAGAGGCCAATAGAGCCTTTTACACTTCAAATAATCCCTCCATCACCCCAACAAAGCATTATAAAAGTCAAGCAAGAGTGGCCAGTGAGAGGAAGACTCTGCCCCCCATTCCACTAAATTATGAATACAGTTGGAAAACAGCTCTGTGTTCTCCACAGAAATCCCATAAGATGATCAGGAAGTATAAGAACGTGGCGGCAGGAGGAAAGCAGTATCATTTCCTGTCTAAAGACTTCTGTCTTGGGGCACCTCACTGGCTCAGTTAGGAGAGCATGCAAATCTTGATCTCAGGGTCAGGAGTGCGAGGCCCACTTTGGGTACAGAGATTACACACACACACACACACACACACACACACACACACACACACACACATAGATCTTTAAAAATAAATAAGTGTAATAAAGACTTCTGTTTTCTTGAATGTAATTCAAGGTAACCTCAGAGACCCAAATGAGGGTCCTAGATCCTAATGTTTCTTAGAAAGACAACTCCAAGATCTATATAGGGTTTCATCTTCACCAGAGCTAAACAGCAATCCAGCCCAAAGAAATTTTTTTTAATCTGGGAGAAAAAGAGTAAAAGAAAAGACACGAGAAATGATTGGACAACCAAAATTTGGAGTAAGTTTGGGGATGGGGTATTTTTATTTTTGGGCAATCTAGAAATAACAGTGTTTTAAGTAATATAAATAATGCTTTTGGACCAAAAGTTTGGCAGTTTTAGGACATCTTTTTGAGAAAATCAATGCCTACATTTAATCATCTTTGAATATTTGATTTTCATGCTTCCAATTTTTTAATAAATTTTTAAAGTTTGTTTATGTATTACTCATTTTGTGCATGTGAGACAGAAAGGCATAGAGATAGAGGGAGGATCCCAAGCAGGCTCTTCACTGTCAGTGCAGAGCCCGACACAGGGCTTGAACTCACAAACTGTGAGATCATGACCTGAGTGGAAATCAAGAGTCAGATGCTTAACCGACTAAGACACCCAGGCGCCCCTCATGTTTCTAATTTTTAAGTTTTATCCTGTTTTCACAGTAAAGGCTTATCAACTTGGGAATAATCCCAATTTCCCAAATGCCAATCAAACAAAAATAAAGGAAGGAAATGTAGAGAGTAGAGAAAGGGAAATGGAAAATAAAAACCGTATGAATGGCCGTTGTTTAAACTTGGATTAATAGTGGTTAGCAGTTCAAACTAACAGGAAACAAAACACACATTCATAGAGGCTCCCCACTCCCTTTAATGTTGGAGATAAAGTTTACAGAGCCCCTTCAAAGTACTTGAAATGTAAGGCTTGTTGTGTGTTCTGATGGCAGTTCCAGCCTCCTCCAGGAAAAGAGGGCTCCGGTTATACACAAGCAGTAACCGCTGGACGAGGTACATTTGTACTTCGTGGGGTAAATGAGATCAAGTATCAAAAGGTGACTTGTAAACCAGAGAAAGCGATGCTCATGTATGGAAGGGTCACGATGATGGGCGTGACAATGACAATTCAATGGCAGTTTTGGCCACTGTCATCACAAAACTCAGTTGGGAGGCAAGTAGTGTCTAGGCTAAGAAGACATTTCATTTGAAGCATACAGACTAGGTGGTTTGGGTACCACTCAGAGCATCTGTTTCTTTAGCCACTAGGTAAAGAACATACAAACATATTTCAGGAAGCTGGTGAATAACCAATGGCTTACCTTGGCCAGTTTGCGCCTCAGGTACCCGTTCCCGAATGACTCGACATGCATCGTACACGGCTGTAGATGGTTCAAACTGCATGGTCTTTACCACATTGCAGTGGCGGACACAAATCTTTAAGGACAGGGCCACCATTTTCCTAGATGATGTGAAGATTCTCACTTAGAATGTCTGGAAAACACAGAGAGACAAACCCTGATGGTCATAATCATCTTGAAAAAACTGCTAGACTCTAGATCAGTTTTAAATAATTGCAGGAATAAAACAGCAATTAAAGAGAACGCTTTGGACAAAAACACAAAAGATTTTGAAAATTTCTAAAAAAGACAACAGCTTGTAGTTCCAGGGTTATCGTTATCAGAGAGTGGCAAGTCGAGGCTCTAGGGAAGAGGATCCGTGGATTTTCACCAAGACTCCTTCTCAATGATGCTCCCTACTTGGAGTTTCCAACAGGGAGTCCTCAGGGTGAGAAGCAGAGAGCCTTGGGCACCCACAGCTATCTCCTGAAGATGCTTCTGTTAGCAGCCTCAGTGCCCCAGCTCTCTCCCCACAGCTCCTGGGGAGAGAGAACAAATACCAATGCTCTCCTGGGTGCTCCTCAGGGCAAAAAAGTTCCACGACACCATGTACCAGAAGACTTGGTGTCTAGGCCCAACTCCAATACCAGCATCCTGTGTAAATGCAAGCAAGGCCCTTTGGCCACTCTACTTTAATTTCCCCACAAGAAGCCACAATGTTAACAGCCCTGCCTAACTCATAAAAGAACCAAACCCTGAGGAGTTCTCAATGGGAACCCAATGCCCAGCCACCATCAGTAATGAGGCCAGAGTGGTTGATTTGGAACAGCCAGTGTGCTATATACATACTCTTCTGGGGTCTCTAAGGGAAGAAAATGCCACTTCAGCTGTTATTTTGTTCAGATAAACTATTGGGATATTTCGTTTCTTGTCCAGTTTGCTTCTAAAACCAGTTTTATGGTTTTAGAAAGCATACAGGTTTAGCTTAGGTTTTATTTCATAAGTAACTTCTTTTTTAAACCTAAGTCCAACAATTTAGTTCCTCTTGTGTGAGTTGGTGGCTTATGGCTTATTTTGACAATGTGCTCTATTCTGTGGCCAGAAACTTACCCTCAACCCGAGCCAGCCTGAATCAAATGTACCTTCCTCAGGCACAAGAGGAAGGATTCTATCCTGCACGTGAAACACTGACACAGACTTACTTGGCTGTCATCCTGGCCAACAAAATAACACACTTCAGAGTTAGTAGTTAGAATCCTAGCACCAGATACAGAACACAAATCCACAGCAATTTCAAGTTCTCATCCTTTCCTATCTTTTCTTAGAGAACCTACAGGGAGTGAACCTGAACCCCCACTGCCTTTATGCCCTCTTTCCACCTAAGAACGCAAACGCTAAGAAGCAATGAGGTAGTTGACACGCAGAAAGGGAAACAGGCTGACCAGGCCCAGGGAGTGGGTTCCTCTAGGGCATCACTTCCTAGCATGTTTGATTGATTGCCAGCTTCCTAACAACAGGTACCTGGGTCAATTGGACACAGGACATTTTTAAACAGATGTTCCGGTGTTCATGGGCAGGGTATTCCTAAAGCCGCATGAATCGTTGCATGAACCAACCATTTAGGCCATCCAACTATAAAGTCATTTTCACATCTACTTATGTTCTGAATGAACTGTCTGTAAAAATATTTCTTGAAGAATGTCAAGACACAGTTCTCAATCAACCACAGCAGCGTTCACTGGGAATCCTCCCCAACTGAATCAATTTACTACAGCCTGGGCAGTGGCTACATCGCTAACATGGCAGAAGAGTTCAAGTTCAAAATATTCAGTCATTTTCCACCCACAATATCAAGGACTTTACAATATCATGCCATATATAAAAGGATAGATCCAACTCTGTTTTTATAGGCATATTTGTCTAAACAACTCCCCAATTTGGGAAAGTAAAATTTAAGCTCTAGACCTAAATTGACAAATTTACGGCAATGTAGAGATCACTGCGTGAACAGTTTTCCCCCTGGGGCTGGTAACAATTGTGAGGTTTCCTGAACCGCTGAGATCCCTGAGCATGGCTGGTGGTAACAGTCAGTGGTAAAGGCTATGGGGGTCCTTGCTGTCATGGGTGCCATTTATGAAATGTACCAGGGAGGATGGGATGGTTAATCGCTTCCATTCTCTGGGAATAGCAAGTATTGGAAGTGTCCCTGCATGAAGGCTGCTCTTCCCAGGCTCATAATTGGGCTTTCTGCAGAGCAAATTAATGGTCTTTCTAGCCAAGCCAGGAGGGATTCAATCAAAGGAAAATACAGAGCCATGACATGGGGCTGAAAGAAGAATAGAACAGCAAGAGAATAAACACTGGCACTCAGAAGGAAATAGAAGATACATAGGGGAGCGAGGAGAAAGGGGCAGATGGAGAAGCAGGAAGCAGACAGCAGCAAGAAGCCTGCTGGATAGAACCTAGGGCTGTGGGTCAACAAGGAACACAGGAGAGCAGCCCAGAGATTTGGAAGCAGGAGGAGAGAAGCAGAATGTATACAGCAGTGAGGGAAAATCTCTATCCAAAATACATGCAAAAATGAAAAAGCCACTGACTGAGGTTGGGGGAAGCTGCTGGAGGCACAGGTTTGGGTGAAAAATCCGTAATGAGTTTTTTCAGGATATATTCGGTAGAGAGGTGGAACAGGGTCAAATACAAAGCAGGACACGTAATGGTAGGGGGAAGGGGAGCTTATCATATTTAAATGCTCAGAATGAGAAAGATCACCCAGGGAAGTGAGCAAGAGAGAGACCTGAAGACTGTGTCCTGGAGCCAGGTTCTAAAATTAGGGCAAGAAGGGACCAGCAAGGGGGCCCGGTGGTGGGTAAGGTAGGAGAACCAGGAAAGGGTGGGCCCAGAAGAAAGTGCGCGAAGCAGGAGGGAGAGAGCACCTGTGCTAAGGGCAGATCACAGTTGAGGGAGGATGAGGATACAACTGAATCTGGCCAGCAGGTGTCTGACAACTGAGGTAAGAAGAGATTAGCAGAGAGGTGAAGCTAGAACAGCAGGTTTGGAGGAGAAGGGGAGAGGGGCTGGCACAGCAAGTGCAGACTTGTCTCCTCATCTCTTAGGGCTGTCTACTGGAAGGGGTGGAGGAACAGGCAGTGGTTCTCATTTATGCCCTTCAGGCTTATTTATCCAGGAAATACGTATCATGTAATTGCCACCAAGTCCGTATCTACATAGCATCTGTACAAACATGGTTTCCACCTGATGATGGCCTGAGGGGCAGTCTCAAGACACCTAAGTGCCCTTCCTGGAGGCAGGTGCTTCAGTGTGCATGATCTCCATTCTGGACCTGCAAGAGAGGAGAGGTGTAGCCAAGTCTTGGTTCAAGGGCAGGGTGTTGGACTAGGAGGGAGTCTGGGCTCCAGGTTCACTCCCAGGTCTGACGATACCTGGGACCTTTGGGCCTGTTAGTTTTCCTCTTTCTGCTCTTTGGAAAGCAGTGGGCAAGTGGCTCCCAAGAAAGGAGTTTCCCAGCGACACTGGATGCTTGGCCAACTATTCCCACAGGATCCCCGGGTCTTCTCATCCTAGTATCTCAAAAATGAAGCCACAGATTGGAGACAACTATCCTTAGTTCAAGGTAGACTTTCAACACCATGAGGGACACCAGACATTCATTACGGGATTCGCGTTCTCAACTTTTCTACCACTTTCAATGTTTCAACATGGGTACACATTACACAGCAAAACCAAAAAATGAAAACCAGTCACTCTCAGAGCATTGCTCAGTGGTCAAAACTCAAAGGCCCCAGTTTCTTCTTACTCCTGGCTCTCGGTTTTATTATGACTTAGTGTTCCCAACATGAAGCATGAAACAAGACCCGTGATTTCCTTCATGGCAACATCATAAACATGCAAATTCTGTATATAAAAATGCCTTATAAACTATAAGGTTGGATTTTTTTTTTTTATCATGCAAGAAGATCATCCACACAGGCAAATTTCAAGGAGGTCTGCAACCAAAGTACACGGTCATTTAATCACCCACTCCCAGGGAACATGGCACCGAGCCGTTTCTAGTTCTACCTATGACACAGTGAGATACTTGCAAAACAGACACGTTGTGACATTAAGGGTCCTGACCTATGGCAAAAGATCATCATATCAAAGCATGTAAGAACCTAGACGTCAAGTACATGTGAGTATGTGTTTTCAGCACTTAGGCGAAGTCTCACTATGTATCCCTTCAAGCCCTGAGAAAATCTCGTAGCTCAGACAAGATGCCATAGATCAAGACGAATGCTCGTTCTCCAGTGAGATGTTCTCAGGGCAGCACAGCAGCCATGTGGCCTGCAGCTGACTCTCACCTCCACTCCCCTGTATCCTAACCCCTCTGGCTAATTCCTGCCTCTCCCGGCAGGGAGCCTGAGACAGCAGACCAGGTTTCCTTTTTGGGTTTGGCTGCAAAGAAGGTTCAGAGCCAACTGTGTTATAGTCTAACCTCTATCTCTATTTTATGCTATCTTTTTCTTTTACCCCAATTTGAATGTATCCTATCTTGCTTGATCTTAAGTAGTTTTTTTGTTGTAGTTTTGGTTTCTTGCTAAAGGACAGGGTATAGAATTCATAGAACATAGGTTATTTTCCTTTCCATAATTTCTTCTCATTCTGACCATTTTTTGCCCTGATTTATGTGTGAAGGTCACCTGGGGCCAACACAAAACCTTCCTGTGCCATCCATTGTGGCCGATGAGCCAATGGAACCAGGGGTGAGACTCTGACACTCTCCTTTTAAAGTAAACACTGTTTGGTCCCAGGGAGTTGTAAACAGCTCAGAAAGGTGGCGGCGGTGCAGACTGCCAGGCTCAGGCCAGTCCACCCTCGAGTAAACAAGCCCAGCCCAGCCAAGAAATGTCCACCATTGCTCAAGATGAGCACCCACCCCTCAGGGATCTCCGCTCTGTCAAGTGAGGCTGTGAGGTGCTCCAACCTTCCCAGTTCATGACCCTGAGCTGGTAACTTCACTGCGGTCTGCTTCCATTTCTTCCATAAAATGGGGGACAATAACTTGCAGGTTGCTACAGGAATAAATGGACACATGTCAAAGACACAAAGAAAGTGCCAGGT